GAGGCCGAGTCCCACTCTGGAGACTGCTCTTGGCTGATGGGGAGGTCTCTTTGGCCAAGGTCACACGGCCTTGCAGGGTGAGCGGGAGGCGGTACAGAGACCCAGCCCCTTTGCCTCTATTCAGGACAGTTCTATAAGGCTATCCCTCTGCCTCATCCTGCTTCCCTCCCTATAGGTGTTGCTCCTGAGGGCAGAGGGCAAAGGGTGCTCCCGATAGACTTTCCACACGCGCCTCTCTGACTCAAAGTGTCTCTCCCAGGAAACCCAAACTAAGATACCTCATTTCTTTTAGGGACCGACCAGAAAGACTGCATCCCTAGGTAAAGGAACTGTGCTCAATGGACGGGGAACAGTTTCCTTCCCGAATGCCCACAGCTTAGGCAATTACCTTCTGGCAAAGTGAAGGGACAATCCGTTGAGTCCAGTTTTACAACTGTCCCAATACTGTGGCACGTCTGAATTCCTTTCCAGACAGGACACGCAGGTTTGGGACGCTCACACGACACTGAGATAGACTCCCCGAAGCACACACGCCTTAAAGTCCTCGACCCCGGCCAGGGGCATCCTCCCTGTGTCCACTCGTGCCATTTCATCCTTGCCCCGTGCCTCAGAGCGGCCCTTGTGACACACTCTGATCCATTGCAGCAAGACCTGCTGCCCAAGGGACTCGAAGGAGGGAGGAGGTTCCAGGCTCCACAGATAAGGGTTTGGAAACAGGTGCTATTTTCTCACTTTGCTCACGGCTGAAGATTACCGAGCCAGACGGGACCGTGTCTCATCAGTTCACGTTCATTTATAATATGCTGGGTAATGGGGGTCGACATACAGTCCACCAGCTCGCGGGGGTCATCGGCTCCAGGGTGAGGAGTGTGCAGGCACGCCTGGAGTTTCTGCTGAGGGGACCCATGTGAAACCGCCTGGCTCTCAACCCCAGACCAGCTCCAGACCTGGTGGAAGGGTCTGCTGAGAAGAGCTTCTCTGTCCGAGAACGCTGACGGGTGAGCCGACACAGGGGGCCGGTGGTGAGGTGGTGAAGATCCAAGGGTTACCAAGAGAGGAGGTGGCACAGTGATCTGAATGACTTTAGAGCTGGAGGCAAGAGAAGTCATGAATCTGGGGACATTTCACAGAAGCAGACTCGGTGAGTGACTGGCTATGGGGAGGGAGGAGGGAGAGGCAGGTAAGGACGGTGCGCAGGTGTCAGGCTTGAGGGACCCGAGGATGGTGCAGCAATTCAAGGTCAGGAGCAATTCATTGTTATTAGGGACAAGGGCCGGGAGCAGGCCTCCAGGGGCAGGGGAGGAACTCAACTTTCCATGCAGTGGAAAGGGCCATGGGACTCCAGGGGAGCACAGGGTCTAAAATTCAGGAAAGAGGTCTGGGCTGGAGGTGGAGATTGGGACACATGAGAATATAGGCAGATAGCGGATGAAATCCCAGGAACGGATAAGACCACCGAGAGAAGGGGGCCCGGGGGCAGAACCTGGAGTGTTAACTCTTAAGAAACAGCCAGAGTGGGAGGAGCCTGCTAGCAGCCAGGGAGGTCAGGGGTGGATCAGAGGTCACGAATGCCAAAGGGAACATCATTTTCTGCATGGAGGGTGCCAAAAGCTGCTGAGAAGTCACATGGGCAGAGAAATGGAAAGTGACCCTGGTAGGGGTGGTGCCGATGGCATGTGGCCGGCCTCAAAGGCGGGAGC